ATATAATTATAATTATAATAATATTGTTGACGTTATTTTACAAACTATTATAAAATTAATTATTATTATAATTCAAAAATACGTAAATATATGTAACAAGTAGCTGAATAAGTATAGCAAAAAAAGCAACTTCTGAAAATAACACAAATCAACCTAAATAGAGTAAAATGAAGAGGAGGATACTTAATTTTTTATTGTAAATAAATTTTCACTAATATCAGAAGTATAAGCATTAGTTTTGATGTATACTCCCTTTGAAGCCAAAGGATATTGTTATAATTAGTTCTTTTATGGATTGTTATATATAATGTCTAAAAAAAAAACTCTTCCTGTTGTCAATTTTATTTGAGCATTAGGATAATGTCGATGGCATTTCATAATTAAAGCATAAATTTTCATGGCAATGATGGGTTTGCTAAGGGTTTAATTTTCTCAGACATTAACATATTATTAATTATTATAAACTACATTGAACCTTACATTTAATGATGTAGAACTGGAAGGAAAGATAAAAAGAAATATATTATAGATTATAGTTTTTGGACATCATTATAAGAAATTTGGATTGATTTTTTTTTTTCAAATAAATAACATCTTATGTTTGCTAGTTTGGAAGCTAGAAAATTAAGACTTAGAGATTATTTCCTTTATTTTTTTGATTTATTTTTAATACCAAAAACATAGTAATATTAACTTTTGATTATATCAATATCAGCTTGATTTAATTCTATTTTGGTATTTTAATCATATTATTCAAATGAATTTTCCTAAAAATGAACCTATATTGTTTGAAAGCTCAAGTGAGTTTCCTGAATTTTATTTATTTTCTTTTGAATTATATGTTATCAACTGTATTAATTTCATTTGATAATTTTTGGACATAACACATACTGGATTCTTATTTAGATCTCACTCAAAAACAAACAACCTAATTTATTTATATTTATACTGTTTTCAAGATATATGATATGATTAGGTAAAGACATGGTATTCAATATCCCACCTTAAAGATATTCCGTCCACTTATAGCTTACAAAATTATCAGGTAACCCAGAAAGTACAGTTACTGTTGTTATCATTATATTAATGCAATATTTAAGTTTCATAATATCAATTTAACGCATAAATAGAAGTAGTTTAATGACTTTGTGATTTTCGAATTTATAAATTAGATATAATTTTAATTCAAAGATTAAGATGTTAATAATATATGAATAGAGGCTACATCATTGGATTAATTGGACAATATACAAATGATTAAATTTATTAAAAATTAATTGATATTCTAATCGATTTTTTGAAATTCTATTTTCATGACAATAGAACTTTCTTCAAATTCCATCCCAGTATATTTTTGTAAGTACAATTATCCTAAAGGTGGTGTAATAAAGCTTGAACAAAGATTTTAATCTATATTTTAATGATATAGGAATATGAAAATAGGGGATGTTTTATGTAAAATCTGATTATACTATTGCATTTCCACACATCTAAATGATTTGCATGGCTGTAAATTTTCAGTTCTTAAAAATTTTGTCTAGACACTCGAAATTTTCTAAGATTTCTTTCTCATCCTTTATATGTCTGATCAATTGCACTTATGTTATCTCAATATTTGATGTAAATAACTTTAATCATTAGCATATGTTGATATTGTTATTGTAAAATATTGATAGTAGATAGTTTTAGTCATTTATAAAGATTATGAAAAATTAAACCTTGAATCAGTAATTATAGACCTTTACTTTTTTTAAATTGTTCCCCTTTTATTCAAATCAGTCCAAAATAAATTGATACAACCTTTGTTAATCCATTCCTATATGGTTGTTCCATCAATTTCATAGACTATATTATGTTTAAAATTTGTGAAAGCCTGTTAATATCGAATTTCTGTATTTTTAGCCACACATAGGTTACCAAGTTTAATGAGATCGAAATGGCTGATTTATAATTATTATATTAAGAACATGATGCTAGATAAACGTTAGTAGAACTATAAAAAATTAAATTTTTAATGATATTTTTTTTCAATTGGCAAATTGAGTTTAAAGTACTTTTGTAAAATTAGTTCCATAATCTAAATATTATTTGACAGTGAGAGATAAATCTGGATGGTTTTAAGAAAAATAAACTTAAACCGCGTTTATGAAGGAACAACATTTACACTAGAAAAATTTTAGATCATAAGTTTTAAAACAATCTCAAAGCAAAATCAAACTAAATTAGGTTTAGTTTTGACAAATGGAAGCCATGCTTTAGATAGATTAATATTTTCCTATCGATTGATTTGTAAAAATTAAGATATTTTTCATAACGAAGGATTTTACACCGAACCTTGTAAATCTGCAAGTTTTATGCAACCTTTTCTGATATATTTATATTTTCCCATCTTTGGTCAATACTTTTTAAGTTTTTTATTTTATCACTTTATCTTTAAATACTTTTTTTCCGACTACAATACTTTTTTGTCAATATCAATTGAATTATGCAATGTAATAAGTTGGGTGGATGGCAAATTATCTTTTAGAATATTTTATAATTTATCATTTAATATAAATTATCTATATATAATNACAAATGATTAAATTTATTAAAAATTAATTGATATTCTAATCGATTTTTTGAAATTCTATTTTCATGACAATAGAACTTTCTTCAAATTCCATCCCAGTATATTTTTGTAAGTACAATTATCCTAAAGGTGGTGTAATAAAGCTTGAACAAAGATTTTAATCTATATTTTAATGATATAGGAATATGAAAATAGGGGATGTTTTATGTAAAATCTGATTATACTATTGCATTTCCACACATCTAAATGATTTGCATGGCTGTAAATTTTCAGTTCTTAAAAATTTTGTCTAGACACTCGAAATTTTCTAAGATTTCTTTCTCATCCTTTATATGTCTGATCAATTGCACTTATGTTATCTCAATATTTGATGTAAATAACTTTAATCATTAGCATATGTTGATATTGTTATTGTAAAATATTGATAGTAGATAGTTTTAGTCATTTATAAAGATTATGAAAAATTAAACCTTGAATCAGTAATTATAGACCTTTACTTTTTTTAAATTGTTCCCCTTTTATTCAAATCAGTCCAAAATAAATTGATACAACCTTTGTTAATCCATTCCTATATGGTTGTTCCATCAATTTCATAGACTATATTATGTTTAAAATTTGTGAAAGCCTGTTAATATCGAATTTCTGTATTTTTAGCCACACATAGGTTACCAAGTTTAATGAGATCGAAATGGCTGATTTATAATTATTATATTAAGAACATGATGCTAGATAAACGTTAGTAGAACTATAAAAAATTAAATTTTTAATGATATTTTTTTTCAATTGGCAAATTGAGTTTAAAGTACTTTTGTAAAATTAGTTCCATAATCTAAATATTATTTGACAGTGAGAGATAAATCTGGATGGTTTTAAGAAAAATAAACTTAAACCGCGTTTATGAAGGAACAACATTTACACTAGAAAAATTTTAGATCATAAGTTTTAAAACAATCTCAAAGCAAAATCAAACTAAATTAGGTTTAGTTTTGACAAATGGAAGCCATGCTTTAGATAGATTAATATTTTCCTATCGATTGATTTGTAAAAATTAAGATATTTTTCATAACGAAGGATTTTACACCGAACCTTGTAAATCTGCAAGTTTTATGCAACCTTTTCTGATATATTTATATTTTCCCATCTTTGGTCAATACTTTTTAAGTTTTTTATTTTATCACTTTATCTTTAAATACTTTTTTTCCGACTACAATACTTTTTTGTCAATATCAATTGAATTATGCAATGTAATAAGTTGGGTGGATGGCAAATTATCTTTTAGAATATTTTATAATTTATCATTTAATATAAATTATCTATATATTTTAAGTATAACATAAAATATAGTATTCTCAAATTATAGCCAAAAACTAAGTATCATTTGATTTTTACTTAACAACCATTTTTTATTTGGGATGGGTCGAAAAAATTTATTACATCTTATAATGAAATTTCATATTAAATAATGTTTTTTATAAAAAGATCTTATCAGTATGATGAATTTGGTTTATAATACATAACTCATCTAAAATTGAAGTCTCTAATAATAAAAAAAATTTTTGAATTTGTTTCTTTTTTCTTGTGAATTCTCTTTATTATATACTTTTAATCTAGTAATTTTTATAATCAGCCTGTTTGGCTGTTTCAAGAATTATCATTTTCGTTACTTTATTTATTAGGAAATAGAGTCAAATTACAAATAACGAGGCACTAATTATGGTTATATCTGTTTAATTAGTTTTTTAGATTATACAAGTTTTTGCAAAGAGCACTTTTAAATGATTAATAGCCTTCCATTTTTTAATATTTTTATTTCAAATTTTAACCCATAAACAAGTTTTAAAATATTCAAAGTTTTTATTTTAAGTTGTAAATAGCAATAGATCGAATATTTCTAATTCTTGTAGAGTGTGGATATAAGTTTGAATCGCATTAAATTAATAATCTTTAGTGTAAGATAATCTACATTAAAACCCATGTTCATAAATTAATATATATTGATAACATTTCTTGATCAAATTTCTTGATTTGAATCTGAAATTTCCACTTTTTAAAGTGAGTCTTCTGGCATCAATTTATGTAACATAAATAAGTTATTTTGATAATTGGATTCATATTCCTTAAACTTATCCTTAAAAATTAATTCTTGAGTATATCTTTGAAAATAATATTTGCTAAAAGATATTATTTTTTTAACAGCAGATATCAAAATAGAGTTCATGAATTGATAAATAAGCAATTATTATTTCAGATTGACGTAGAGGTTGATAAATAATAAATCTATGATTGCAAAGAAAGTTAAAAACACTGATTGAAATCAGAAAGAATTAAATTATTACAAGGACAATTAAATATTACACTTACTCCATAAAAAAAAATGATTTCTATCGATTCCAAATATAATCTAAATCTTGATAGACAGATATATCTGTAAATTTTGTTATAAATGGTAGATTAATCATTCAGAATAATAATTTGGGATGGTTTCACCATAGTAATTTATATTAAGATTCCTATCTAATTGTCCTTATTAAAATATTAAAATCATTTATTCTATTGAGTTAGGTTAGCTAGAGATACGCTGATCACCAAAAATGTTTCCTTATGTAATTAAATCTTAATGAAGGTGTTTGGATAGGCATATTCATTATGTTTCATTAAATTGAAATAGATTATATTAATAATTATTTATATAAAATTAACTCAAATCAAATTTATTATTATTCTTTTATGTCTTAATTTTTAGATTGCTCTTGTTGATCTATGCGTTATTGTGCTTAACTTTATAATATATCTGCTTCTTCAATTTTCTCCAGAGCTCGTAAAGACTCAGCTTTAAATATTAAAGAATGAATTACCTTTTTTTAACATATATTGGGGATCAGGGGATAATTAGAGGGCTAAATCATAGGATGCCACAGCAGCAATAAATTTGTTCATTTTATGAAGTGTTTCTCCTAAAAAATAATAAAGATAATAACCTTTCGAGGCATGGGCTTCATGCATAGTACCTTCTATCATTATTGCTTTCTCAAAGCAATCAAGTGCTTCTTTGAAAGCCTCTACTTTAAGTAATCCGACACCTTAAAGTATTAAAAAATGTAACCTTTAATATATTGAGCCATTGGATTATTTGGATTGATTAATATTGCAGCATCTGCGGCTCTAATTGCTTCTTCATATACTTTTAATTCTATTAGACATTGAGCTATAAAATAAAAACTAAAATTTACATTTGAAGGTGAAGGCTATCTAATGTTATGGATTTATATTTATTGCTGTGTTGTAATTTTGAACTGCTTAATGGAATTAACCTAATTTCTTTAATGCATTTCCTAAGATGAGATATTTTGAATACCTAATAAAAAGTATGAATGTTCATTTTCAGGATCTATTTCAATTGCTCTTTCAAAACATTTGATAGCTTCTTCTTATTTTTTCAATACAAGTAAAGTCTACCCTTTAAGGAAATATCAAAAATTATAAACCTTTATGAAAAAAGGAATTGAAATCGTTTTGATTTAGTTCAATTCCTATATCAAAAAAATCTATGGCTTCTTCGTATCTGCTTAAATGATGTAAAGTCAAACCTTGCAAATAAATTTTGATCTTACCTTTTAGAGGTATGACTTATGTTTTTTCTGGATGATTTTCAATCATATGATTACAAGTCTCAAGAGCTTACTCAAATTAATTTAATTTAATTAAGCATTTCCCTAAGGTTATGAAATTCCTTTACATTTTATTAATAAAATTTCAAAATTGTCTTCTATTGCATTTAAATTTGCTTTATCGATTAGGTCTATTGTTTCCTTATATTTTTCTTTTTACAATAATTCAGCACCTTAATTTAAGATATATTATTTACATTACTTTTAGAGCTACTAAGATTCTATTAAACCCTTATAATATTCAACTTATTCATTAGTGAGTGATATTTTAGGCACTGGCTGATTGTTGTCCCTTAAATTTAATAATCTAAAATTTACTTTGCATTTTTTTCCATTGCTTATTGTAATGAAAATTCAATTACTTATTTCAACAAACCTTGTTGCCCTACACTATTAATCATATTCATAACTTTTTAGAAATCAGGCTATTAAGCTTCTGAATCTGATTTTTATGGTTAATTTTTTTATATTTATACTTGATTGGCTGGAATAGGATTAGCTTTAGGAATTTAAGGGATTGAATTTTGAGCATTTTGTTATTAAGGATGTAGATTTGATGTAGGTAATTATTGGGGTTTAGTAACAGGAGGAGGAATTTTGTTTGAAGGAGGTTATTAATTAATTTAGCTAGATCCTGGAGGTGGTTGATTTGGCTTATTTATTGAATTTTATGGTGGATTTTGCTTTTGTAGACTAGAACCTTGAGGAGGATATATATTTGAGGATTAATTTGAAACAGAAGGAGGGTTTGATGGTTTTGGTTATTAATAACTAGAAACAGAGGAAGGTTATTAATTTATTTACTAAATTAGAAACTTATATTACTTAAGGTGGTAATCCAACTCTAGTAGGTTGATAGGGTTGTGGTTTTATAATTTCTTTTTTTTCTAAAATTTCAATTTCTTATTATTATTATTTTAAGTTTTAATTCTATATTGGCATTTCTATATTAACTTAGACTTCTTAATCTAAATATATATAGATATAATAACCTTTTTTTTAGACTTCAACTTAAGGTGGTTTTTATTGATTTTGGTTTGGATTAATAATTTCAGATTTAATTGATGAATTATAGTTCTCCAAAACTTAAATTAACATATAATATAGTACCTTTAGTTTATTCTAAAATTTCAGGGATTCCTAATGTTAACAATTTTAATGTTTATAATCCTTTATCTAATTATTCTAATAGCATTTCTAAAAAATTATATAAAAATCATCTTACATTATGAATTCGACTGTAAATATAGACAATATTTTTTAAAAAATGGAATGTGTTCTAAGCATTTTTTATATTCTTTATCCTTCAAGTCTTTTTCTAAAATCTACAATTTCCCAGTGTCCACATTCTTGTGTTGAGTAATTTGATCACACAAAGTTTATATTTCTTTCATTTTATTAATTAATTGGGTGTGTTACTTTTCCTCAAGTAATTTGTTGCTTATAATTGTCTTTTAGATCTGTTTAAATGTTTTGCATTCTTCTTCATGACTGCTGTGCTTATCCCAACAGCATTTTAAACAAAATTGTGTATTTTCTTTACAATTATTATTGAGACAGAAACCAATTATTTCATCTTCATCATGACCTTCTTATTAACACAAGAATTCAGAGTCGTCTTCCATTTTATAAATTTATTTAATGCAAAAATTATATCATATTTGATTTAAATTAAAATGATCAAAGAAAATATGTAATTCTATTAACTTTAAAACTCTGTCAAATTTGTCATTGTTATAATGCTATAGCTGCATTTCTTTTTTCAATTAAATTAACAATTCCATTCTTATTTTAAACTTATATGGATATATTCTTGATCTAAAAATGATATTTTCTATTATTACTATATAAAATAATTATTAAATTAAGATTTTTATCATATATTATGTTAAGATATCTTAATAAAATATTAAATTTTTATGTATTATTAATTATCATTTTATTCAAATTGTTTTAGTTTATTCACTTCAAAATGACAATCATTTTTATTATTATTCATTTAGTTAAATATATTAGGTTCAAATAAAAAACTTAATTATTCATTATATGCATTTGAAGGAATAATCTAATTAAATCAACATATAGCCAAGAGTGGATTATAATCCTCTTCATTATATAGAATTAAAAGAACAAATAAGCATTCTTATTATTCATAAATATACTCTTATTTATATTAAACAATGCCAAACTAATTCAATATAATTAAACACACTTAAGAGAACTAAAATAATAAGAAATTATTATTTTAAAATAATATTTATTAATTAATTATTATTTTATTGTATACTTTTGTTAAAATGACATTATTATCAAAACTCTTAATATTTTCTTATTTGAATTTCCCATGATTTTCTATCCCATGTTGCTAAGTATTCTCCATCATCACTTAGTTTTCCATTAATTGAATTTGTACAAAAATCAATGGATTACTCAGTAATTAGTTCTCCATTTTCATTTTTCCTTATGAAATTGATATAACTAACATTCTTGTTAATAAGTACATTTTTTTACTTATTGAATTATTATGGAAAAAGATAATAACAATCATCATTTCCACCTTTAACAGCAACATCAGCTTTCTATTTATAAATATTATTATTATCCAATTCAAAAACACTCATATAAGATTGTTTACATGGTTAAAATGTGAATTGATTATCACTTATAAAACATAATCGTAATCCCATAATTTGTATTGTAATTTTTTAAATTAGATTCCATTAGTCTTAAAATTTTGAAGGTCTTTCAAAAACTAGAATTAGTTTGTCTTCTCCACATGAAATTAATCTGTTCTCATTTTCATTCATACTAACAGCATTAACATAATCTTTATGTTCTGAAATAGTCTAAGAGCAAGACCAATCAGCATTGTTATTTGGTTTAATCCAAAATTTAATTTTTTTATCTCTACTTCCTGTAATCATTAGATCATCATTTTCACTCAAAATTAAACATAATATCCCTGAAGTATGCCCTTATAATTTTTATTGGCATACCCATTAATAATTTTGATTCATTATCCAAACAAATATATAATTATCACTACTGCCTGATACAAATTGTTAATTGTTATTTTTCATAAAGTTGAGTGTTACAATAATATTATAATGATCATTTAATGTTTGTATTAATTTCAATGTTCCTTACATAAAATCATACATTTTAATTTATTTATTGCAACCAACTGCAAGAATTGAACAATCCGCATTGAAGGATAATGCTCCACAAAATTCTTATTACTTGATTGAATTATTTTAATTAATTTATTCATATTTGAATTTCTACAAAATCTGTGTTTCTTATTTTTTCTTGCTTTACTCTTTCAATTAGGATTCTAAAATTATAGCATTTTTTGATAATTATTCAATTTGATTTATTAGTGTTTAATTCTAAATTTTAAGTAATTATTCAGATTCTTTCTGTTTTAATAATTAAATTTATAAATTTGCTTTTTCATTATTTTCTTATTAAATTAATTGTGATTATTTTGCATTCTATCTTTCTTTCTCATCATCTTTTGATTATTCTTAGTTTTCTATTGCAACCTATTTATTTTACACTTTTATGTTTTTATGTATATCTCCAAAAGCACTTTAAAGTATGGTAATTGTGTTATGGAAATGGGATATTAATTCATTTAGATTGATAAAATCAGATAAGTATATTGTCTCATTTAGTAAAGATTATTGATTGCATTCTTATTCAATTTCGTTTTTAATAATGTCTTTCTCCACTTGCTATAATCTTTCATCCATTAAAGTTATGATTTACTATAATATTATCTCAATCAATTACCTTTAATTGATTAATTTAGATTAAGATATCTTAAAATTTTAACTTCCTATTAGATAAAGTTTGAGAATTATTAGTTTCTTTATTATAGATATTCATAATAATTATTTAATTATTCATAAGTTAATTCTCATTTAAAATCAAGTTTTTTTAATATCTTTTCATCATTTTTGTTGTTGTATTAATTAATAATAAAGACTATAAGTAGTCTGTCTAATTAAATAAAAATGGAGAATTTGCAAAATTTATGTGTTTAATCAATATATTAAGACTAAGGTATCTATAGAAATTAAGAGAATGGATAATTCATAAAAATAATGTATATAAAATCTATTAAAATATTCATTTACAGAATTTATAGATTAATTTTATAAAATAATATTAATCTTTAAATTATTGAAAATATCATTTTATATATAATACCTAAATTTTAATTTAATGCTAAAATGATCTTAACTAAATGGTTGGTAATAATTATTAAAAAATAATAATTAGTTTAAATTATGAAACTAATTTATAAGTTATTTATTATTATTTTTAGAAACAATATTGACAAATTAAATTCAACAAAAAGAAAAAATAATTTTTCCATTTGATCATAATCAAATTTATTTAATAAGTGATATAAACAATAAATAATTTACATAATAAATTATATATAAACTCAACTTATACGTTAGGCTTTCTTAGAATAAATTAAATTTTAAGTTGAGATGAATAATTACTTAAGTGTATCTGTAATTTTGCTCTTGTTCATGAACCATTAGAAAATAAAAATCATTAAGAATAATCCTTTATATTGGAATTATTTATTTATATTGAAAATATATTATTAATCAATAATTCAATAAATTAATTTTTAATTACATTGTTTAAATATTAAGTCAGGGATAATTTTAGAATGCTGTGTCATTATAATCTGAATTTTTGAAATTTATAATCAAAAATGATTAAATCAAATCAAAAAAATAACAAATAACTTTAAAGTAAATTTTATTCTAGAATATATAAAAAATAATCATCTTTATTTTTTAAATATCTAAAAAAAACATTGTTTTATTTGATAATTATTATTTCGATGAGACATTAAAGTATTTTATATATATTTTTATAGTTTATAATTTATATAAATAATATATAATAATATTTATTAACATGTGTTTTTTTAATTGTAATAGAAGATTAACTAATAATCGATTATTAATGAATCTAAACAGATATGAACCATATAATTGCGAAATGTGTAAGAACTAAAAAAAATTAAAGAATCTTTAATATTGTGGAAGGTTCTCTATTCAATTTGAAAATCTATCAGAATTTCACTCAGATTTATCAACTTTATTGATTAATTAATAAGGAAAATCCAATTATATTCATTGTGTGAAATGCAAACAAATTTTTTTTTTAGATAAAAAAGATAATCATATAATAGTTTTCAAATTCACTTGCAATCATTCATAAATACAATTTATTAAATAATGCATATCTTGTAGATAATTAATTAAGAAAAAATAATACTAAAAATGCAAGAAATGTTAACTATCACTCTTCTTTTTTAATATAAGTAGATAAGTAAAATGTCCTCGATGTGGCATTATATGTTGCGAATCATGTAAAAAAGAAATGTAACTATTTTCATAATAATTTTGCAATTGTAAAATTATTAAATATTCTAAAAATGTCACATGCTATACATATTTAGTTTCCGCTATAATTTTGTTAATAATTTTGGCATTAATAGGTTCATATTATTTAGAAAATTCTGAATATTATTAATCAATGGTATGCACAATTAAGGATGGATATTCAAATGTAAATTGTACATAAGAATAACTATATAAAGACAGTTTGAAATAATTGATATTGTTCATAGGATTAATTTTAGTAATGTGTCTTGTGCCAGCTTTATTTGAGAGCTTTACCTTGTTAAGAAAATCTTAACTTCGATAATAAAGAGCTATAAGTAATAAATTTAGATGAAATTATAAAATAATTATATAATTAAAGTATAATAATTGTTATATGTATTTTCAACATATAGATATGATGAATAATAATGATAGAAAATTATTGTAATTTATCCGATTGCAAATAATATCCTTATTAATATTAATTTTGTTATTCTAAAATATTATAAACTTTAAATGTATTAACGAAAAATGATCAAAATATAATTATATCTACTATCAATAAATATTTTTAGATTAGTAACTTTAATTGAAAATATAAATTATCTATATCAATAAAGTATTTACATATTGTTTTAGAAATTAGAATGAGTCATAAAGAAATACATGAATTTTTATTATATTTGATTATTATAGAATTAAAGTATAAATATTTCATATATCCAACTATGACTACAATTCCTGATTCTAGTTGTTCAAAGTATTTATTAATACAATTAGTGTAATTGATTATAAAGGATTTAATGTACAAATAACAAATTATGGAAAATCTGTCTTAATAGTAAAAGGAAATTAAGAATTCAAAGTCATATTAAATGAGTAAGATGCCTCAAAAGTAACTAATATTGAATATTATTTAGGAAAATTAATAGTATATCAAAATTCAGACTGAGGATATAATTTAAGATGAATAATCCAAATTGACTTATGTATGTGATTCTAAACAGAACATAAAGACAAAGGTGTTATGTTTCTAAAAACAATAAGGTATTGCTATTAAATGGAGTACCGGATTACAATCAACATTTATATTTAAAATTGATGAATGAAAAATGTTAAGAAATCTATATTATTTTGGCTATATTTATAGTATTATTAATCTACTGCTAATTAAATACTATATGTAGTTTAATTATAATCTAATATTTATATAGAAGCGTATTATGTATATATAGATCCTGTATGATCATTTATAACAAAAATTAACATCATAATATTAAATGATTATTTTAATATTTTTCTCAATTATAATTATCGAATAATTTATGATTAATTTCTAATTGTAGATATATATCATTGAAACATAAAAATATATGGAACTATAACCTAAATCATAGTGATTTTTTTGACTTGATAATTACCAAAAAAATATAGGATTTAATTCTAAATAGATTAAAGTACTTAAAAATAATTACCTTATGAATTCTAAATCCTTAATAAAAATTAATCTGAATTATCATCATATTTAGAAAGAAGTGTTACAAAAATTCATGAATTTTGATAATACAAAGAAAATTGGTTTTTTTTAATTCTTAGTAATTTATCTTGGTTGTACAAAAGCTGAATAATTAAGCATTATTATACTCTAAAGGATCATAAAATGCAAGAAATATTTAAACATGAGTATTAAATATTTACTTTTCTTCAACAACAAAACCAAGATGGATTTAGCTATATAATTGGAAAGGTTTTGACCATGTGAATAGTGTTAAAGAAATGATAAAATAATTAGAATAAAGAGAGGCTGATATTTGTAGAATTAAGACTTTGAAATAGTAATTAATTAGACGTATCGATATGGGTGATGATAAATGGAAAATAATTAATTTATTTGAACAGCAATTTTATATTATGAATATCATTTTCAGAAATCAAATTATTTTTGTGAACTTTATTTTCATTATTCTTAATATTGCTTTTCTATAAAAGAAGTTGAAAAATCTATGGAATTGGCATTAATAGCTTTAAAATTAGTGGATATTGATAATAATAGGAATTGTAACAAAAGTAAATAATTAAGATAAATCTAAAGAAAGAATTTCAAAAATTTTATAATTAATTATTAAAATCAACTCAAATGAATCTAGATCTATATTATTATAAAAATTACATTCTATTTTTACATTATTTTTGAGAAATAATTCGGCTGTAAATTTAGAATAAATTGAGAAAAAATTATCTAATTATGCAGAATAAGAATAAGATAAATTTAATTATTATTTAGTGCTAAATATTTAGATCTAATTTAGCATTTGTTAATAAAAAAGGATAATAAATTAATCAAATCTATCAATCTTAGATTCTTATGTTTAGATACTTAGGATTTTGATCCTTAGCTATTTAAATTATTTTTAAAATATGTTTACATTTAAAAAGAATTGATGAAAAGTGATTCTGAACAATAATTATATCTTTCAGATTTGGGTAAATTCAATTAAAATTGTATTATTTACGAGGATAGACTTGTATTAAAAAAACAGGAAGTTTTACATATTTAAAATAGTTAATGGTAATATTTATAAGGAGCTGAATAATTAAATTAAGAATAATTATTTAAATAAATGGCCATCTAATAGTAAAAGTATTTCGAATATAATTGTTATGAAGATATAGATATTATTCAGATTTTAAATAATGTCATAAAATTATAAATGATGCATTAATATAAATTTTATTATATATGTTATTGAAAATAAATTAAGGATATTCTAACATTTAAATGATATTTTATATTCTTCTATAAATATTTTATTAATAATTAAATAATAATATAATAATGTAAATTTTAAGTACAGAAAATAGTATTTTAAAAATTTCAAATGATATTGATGATTATGAGGATGAAGAATTAATATTAACCATTTTAAATATCAGTTAAGAAGAATATTAGAATACATTAGTTAAATTAAAAGGTTATGGATCAAAATAATTATGTGCAAAAACTATTGAAGAATCAGAAATGTTTTACTAATGTTTTGATTGCTGCAAAGATCCTAGTCATGCTATTTGTAAAGAGTGCCTTATTCCTGAAATTCATAAAAGTTAATTGAAAATTATTATGTTAGATCATGCTGTCTTTTTTGAATAAAATCAATCTGAAATGCCAGGATTTTGCGATTGTGGTGATACAATTACTTTTGATATCAATTCAATGTGTTCTAAACATAATCATTGTTCCATAACGTTTAAGATTGATTAACTAGGTTGTAAATAAAATAATAGATATTAGATGATAGAATTATTAAAAATTATGAATAATTTTTAATGATTTCTTTTGGATTATTATAGAAGAAATTAGAATAAATAGTTGATTATCCTGCTGATCTATTAGAAAATATAGAAAATATAATAGAAAGTTTTAACAATGATATTTTAAAGAATTATTTTAATTCTAATAGAGATCATTTCTAATTTATTTAGAATTCTATGAATTAAGCAAAATAAATTCATAAATTAATATTGAGATGCTTAGAAATTATAACAACTGATAATATAGTCTGGAGTTAATTAACAGCTAAAATTTTAAAGTAAGAAATTAAATATTAAATAAATGATTAAGAGATTGGATCAACTTCACTTTTGGAATATTATCTTAAATAAAGTGCACATTTAGTTGGATCACTCTAATTTGAAAAGGATATTTCAACATTTTTTCCTCTTTTTTTTTAAGAGGATGAATTTCGAACACATCTTGTTAAAGTTGTGATCTCGAACTTTTCAAAATTGTATCTTCTCATTAATTCCTATAAATTAATTAATACTAATAATGAAGAATTCTGTTTTTAAATATATTAGGGAAGTAATGATTAAAAGTTAGCTGTTTTAATTCAACAAATACTTGATTGTAGCCAAATATAATAAACTATATTTGAGAATATAATAATTAAAAGTACAATCGCAGAAAAGTTTTATAGTTTTATCTCGAGAGGCTACATTGAAATTCTAAAGTTATACTAAAATATCAGAAATCCAATATGCTATAATCTATTTGATGATATCTCAGATCTGCTCTTAAAAATGTATAAAATAATAAATAATTTAGTCCATTAGCAAATTAACCATCTTTAGAAATATCTCATAGTATTTGTTATTTTTTAGAATTGATGAGGAAATGCAAATCGAGTCTTTAAGGATTAATTAATTAGATTTATGAAATTCTTTCAATAGATGTTCACTCCTTTTAATCTCAAATATTAAATCCAAATTCATAAGGGTTTTAGAAATTATTAAATTAATCATTAATGATTTATTCATTAACTAGGAGGAATTCATGTTAGCAAAAGAAGAATTTAAATTTAGAATCACAAATAGGTGAAGAGAATCAATAATCACCTAATTGCTTATTAATTCTGTTATTATAAAATTTATCATCATTTAGATGTGATTTAAAATCCATGGTATTGGCTATTGGTCATGTAAATTCAAATGAAGTTTAAAATATATTTAGAATAATCTTACATTATTTTCTTAATAATTTAACAACTGTATTCAATTTAAAATATTAATCTCAACTGCAATTAATCATTTCTAATATAGTTTTAAGCGATAGAAATTTTATAACTGTGTTAGCAATATACTTAATGAATTTTTCAAATTCTAAAGAAGCATATGATAATATCCTATAGATTAGTGGATAAACAGATTAATAGTTAAAATTAATTATGAGTTCTATCTTAAAAAGGGCCATTTTAAATTATTAGATTTTTTCAGATTATGATTACTACTTAGGGAAATAAGACATTTTAAAGGAATTAGATGAGGAAGTATCCCTTTAAAAGGTTGATATAGCTTATATCTAAATTTATGCTTTTCTATTTTAAGAATAGGGAATAAATGATATTGTTGAGTATTATATTGAAATCTCATCTCATCTTAATTAAAATGAAGATTCTACTTTGTTAATTTGTACAATAGCTTAAACTGATAATGATTTAATATAATGTGTTGGAAATATTTTCGGAAATTAATTAACTGTATAAATATAAAAAGGATTGCATAAATTATTTTAAACAATATTTTATTCTTAAACTTTTTATTAATTGAATGAAATGAAAAGTATACTTAAATCATTTAGTAATGAAAATTATACAGATTTTGAAACATTTATTTTGAGTTGTTGTGAAATGAATTAAGATAATGGATAATTATAATTAAAAAAAGAAGTTAAATTATCTATTTATGAACCAATTTATGCTTAATAAAATGAATAGATTAAAGAAAAAATTAATGATAAATTATAAATGTAGAATGATAAATATGTTGAATTGTTTGGATCATCATTATAATATGAATTATAATATTATAATACAGATAAATCAACTCTAACTAATATTAGATATGAAATACTTAAAGCAATATCACTTGATAATTAATAGTATTTACTTGAGAGAATTCTAAAAGATTTAGAAAATATTTTTTAATAAGAAATTGATTTTGATACCAGAGTAGAATAATTAATTAAGATTTTATAGGACAATGCAATATATATTAATTTGTTAATTTTATCGAATTCATTTTTTAAGACCTAAAATATTATGATTAAAAATATATTGGATAAAATATAAAATTATAGCTAAACAATTTTATCAAGTTAAAAGATAAATCATACTTAAGAATGCTTTTTCCAAGTCTATTGCTAAAGATTAGAAAATTAAAGTATAATTTAAAAATTGGATGAAATTGATCATTAAAAATAATAATCTAAAATTGAAAAAAACTAAATACATAAATTATAATTACAATAAAAATTCAATTAAATGAAGAATAATTTTAATAACAAGATTATTCATAATAAATAACTCATAGAAGATAATGAGGAAAAATGTTTATTATGCAAATTACCATTTGAAAAAGAGGATCTTTAATACATACCAATTTTAATTTAATACACAAATGTCTATTAATATTTAAATATTTTTTAATTGTAACCTACTTAAGAAATCAAAATTTTATCTGTGCATGTTTCAAATTGTAACCATATTTTTCATTCTGATTGTTTGAAACAATAAATCAATTCTCTAAACCAAAAGGATCAAAAATGTTTTTAATGCCCTTTATGCTATTCTCCTTATAATTTTATGTTACCAAATTCTTATAACATGTAAAATATAGAAACTTTAGATTTTGAATTTCCAATAGATATTTTCTAAGAATCAATTTTTGATAACTTTTTAGAAATTTTTGTGGAAAAATTTTCAAATTAGGAATATAATTTTTATTCATTTCTCGATGAAATTTTATCCTAAATATTATGCAATTTAACATTCTAATTGTTGAGTGACTTAGAGAATTTTATTTAAAAGAATCAACATTTATTTATATAAAAAATTATAAATTTGATGAGATTGTTATATAAATAGTTGGATTCTAATCTAATTGAAAACATTAAATTAAATGAAACAGAAATTTTATTTCAAATTTTAAAATTAATTTAAACACATATGATAAAAGAGCATAATATTAATAATTTTTAGTCTAACCTTTCAATATTACTAAATCAAAATATAGAATTGGCTTAAGCAATATTTGAAGTATTGACATAAAGAAAAATCAATAAATATATTAATAATAAATTATTACCTTATAACATCTAAGTCATTAAGGATTTATTCAAAAAAGAAAGATTAAATTTTTTAACAAATAAATTCAGTTCATTTTTAAGTAAGAATTACTTACTTCCTTGTTAAAAGAAAAATTGTTAATTTCCTAAATTGAAATTGTAGACTAAATATCAAGAATAATATATTTGCCTTATATGTTTCAAAAAAATGTGTCCAAAATTTTGTGGAAAAAAAATTATACAAGTATTTATATTATAATTTAAATTTAAGGGCGATCTTGGAAATTTATAAAGACACTCTCAAAAAAAACATTTAAGAAAATGTGTATTTCTTGATGTTGAAAAAAGTTAAGTTTTATTAATATATTCCACATCTTATTTTTTTATAAACAATACTTTATTTATAAATAAAATAGGAGATTCCCCTATCAAAGGCCCGTATCCATTATAACATTATCAGAAATTTTAAATAAATATGAAAGCTTTAGATCAAATATTTGATATAATTATGGATGAGAAGTACTTAAAAAAATTAGATGAAAATTAAGATAATGTACAAACACAAGTAATTTGATGAACTGTTATATTTCATGCAAATTTTCATAATTAATTTCTATAAAATGGGCGATAATATAAAAATATCTTTCTTTTTCTTTATAATTAAATTTTATTAGTATTAAATATGAAAAAACTTATGATACTTATTCATAGGTGTAAGATATCCTTTATGATAAAAATTACTTTACAATTTTTGGGGTTAAACATTCTTTTAGGTTAAATGTTTAAAATATTACAAAAGAGAAATTTGTAATAATTAGAAGTAAAATTAAAAAATAAAATATTTTTAAATTGATTTAATTAATCAATAATTAATATAATTATAATTGCAGTCAATATTTTATGTCTACAATTGATTTTATTTAAATAGTAGTATATTTTCCAATGAAATCAGATAAATGTTAGACTTTAGCTTCAAAATCTATTATATCTTCTTAAATTTAAGTCTCAATGGAATTGTTATTACAAAGTTGTTTTTCAACTGGAATTTGAATAGTCTCCGAATTTCCGAATTGATTATAAGATTAGTTAGGTGAATAAATCAAGAATTAGTCCATCATTTAAGATAGAGAAGTTGTTTATAACATTTTAATAAATAACCCCTTAATTTAAGAGTATTCTGGCATTTCATCATGTTTTAGATCATCAATTAAGGACATTAATTTCGAAAATTCTAAAGGAAATTTCTTGGATAATGTCATTGTGTTAAAGAGGGAAGTCTTCATGTCTCCAATTTATTGGATATCCAAATCCTTAGATTTCATTGAAGCTTTTTAACTCCATGGTAATTTGCCTAAAGTTATTAATCATAAATACCATTTCTCATATAGACTAAAACATAAAATAAGCTTTCTAAATCATCTTTATAACCTAATTATTCTCCTCTATGTGATGCTCTGCTTGCAAAATTTAAAGAACCAATGAATATATTTTGTAAGAATTTCGAATTACCTATAGTTTGAGATAAACCAAAATCAATAAGTTAGATGATTCCAGGCTTTAGTAATTATTCTTTTGAATTTTATGCTATTTTTTTTGAAATCATTATATTATCTGGTTTAATATCAAGATGTAAGATTTTTTTAAGATGTACTTATTCTAATGTTTTAATGATACTTAATCCTATAGCCAATATAGAAGATAAAGACAATTGTTAAGATTTAACTAAATCCCGTAAGCTACAATTTAGTTATGGCATTATAAGAAATCCTCTAAATTGATTAAATAACTCATACTTATTATCTGCAGTCTTTCCATGTTCAATTAAATGTGGAATTCCTTCTATCTTATTTAATTCTTTAAGGATTTTAATCTCGCTTTCTATTTGACCTTACATTGGGTATTTTTCCATTTTAAGTGCAAATACCTTTTAAGTGAGATTATTTTTTGCTTTAAACACTTAATGTGCTGATCCTTAACCAATCATCGAAAGTATCTGATATGAAGAAGTTTGAAGATACATTGTTGGGAACTATTTTTAATTATTGAATAAATAAGAACAAAATTCTTGTTAAAACTTAAAATGAAGGAGTTTAAGATATTTTTCAAATCTATAAATTTTTAACATCAACAACTATGTTCATCATGTATTATTCAATGCTATATTACTTAAGTATTTTTTAGTATCGATAAGTAATATATTATTTAAAGCAAGAAGAAGTTTCATTATATGATTATTTTTACGAATTATACATTATTCTTTTTATTGCTAATTACAATATAAACAATTCTAATCTCCATTTTTTAAAGGAAGTAATGAATTACTTTATTTTGAGCAATGAAATCATTTCATTTAGTAAATTAAGTATATAATCCACTCATTTTGGCTATTTCAATTTTACATAAGAAAACCCATGTATTATTACTTTAGTTAAAATATATGATGAATATTAAAAATTATAAGTTATTGTATATTTTGGAAGTGAAATGGCTTCAATCATGCTTAAAAGAACATTCTGACCACAAATTTTATTTTTATTTTTTGGCTCAAATTTATAGAAAAGTTTACAAGTCAAATAATCAGGTAATTGGAATGGCCTATAAAATAAGATTTAAAGAAAAAAAAATACAAAATGAAATTCAATAAAAAATTATAGATAAATGAAAAGAATTTTAATAGTTAGTTAGGATTCCAATTAAAAAAAGAAATGAATATATATTATGATCATATTTAAATTCCTAATTAAAAAATATATAATTGCTTGTGAATCGATAAAAGAAATAAAAAGATTTTAATAAATTAAATATTATGTATGTTTTTTAAACAAAATTTTTTTGATATTCTTATGAATTCAATTCAAACATGAGTATGGTATTTATAAATTTTGATTTCTTATAGAAATAAGCGTTAAAAAATGAAAGAATATATTATACATTACTAATCAAATTTGAATTTGATGGCAACTAAGATTTTGGTACATTTAATAAAAAAGGCTATTTCAAGATCATCCGTAAAAGTCTTATAAATTATAATTTATTAAATAAAGTCATGAGATATCAGAAAAATAAAATTTTAATACTTTGTTATTATTAAAATCACAACTGTATTTTTGAGTAATAATTCTTTAACATTATATCATAAACAGCGTTATCTATTTGATTTTAATTTCTTTATCTCTTTTATATTATTCATAATTAATACAAATTATCAGAATTATACTGTATATATATATTAGATCTTTATTCTAATTACTAAGAAATTTATTTTTATCAAACAACCAGAAAGTAATTAAGTTAAAAACAATTTGTTGTAATTTTATGAAACTTATTTATAATTAAAAGAGCTATATAATTCTTTAAAATGAATTAGCTTATCATATATTATTATTAAAAAAAGTTCAATTAAATTAAAATAGTTATAATAATTAATTTTGGTAGCCAATAACTTTATCTATTTAAAAGAATATGGACTTAATTTATTTCATTGTAATATAAATTATTTACTTTAGATTATTATAATAAAAAAATTAATTGAAATTTTCAACAATGGGAGTAGTAATTTAACATTGCATCAAATCCATATAAAATGGTATTGATAATAATCAAGGCGAAGATTGAAAATACATTGATAGACACTTAAATAATGTCTACAATTAAAATAATATATCCAATTTTGAATCTGTTCATAAAAATATATGAAGGTTTAGCTATAATTATTACTCCTAAAATCTATATAGTAATTTAATAATTTACTCCTAAAATGAAAAATACAAGCATTTGTTCATCAGTTATAGTTTTTTACAAAATAAATTAGATCAGACTATTAAGAGAAATCATAAATGATCCAAAAGCAGCAGTGGCAGCTGCTTCTCTTGCAATTATTTTTTATGATAATAAAAAGGTCACCATAATTAAACCACCTCCCATACCTAACAATCCTGTGCTGAACCCAGCTAAAAAACCACCCAAATAATAAAAAAAGAATTATTTTTTCTCTTTAAAGAATCTCTAATTTGGTCTATATTATACAATATCTTTATAATATTCTTCATTTCTTTTACTCCAATAAACAAAAAATGTATAAGTAAGATTTATTCCAATTATTGCTAATAAAATTAGATTATTTTCAAGAGTGCATTTATCTAAACCAATTATTGAATTATTATATTTATTAGATCTCATAAGGATAATTGTTTGATTAACAAAAAAAGATCCAAAAATAAAACTTAGATTCTTTATCTAAAATTTTTTATGGTCATTTTTATAAAATTGTTAATACTAATTGAGGAGCTTTTCATCAAAATTTGTTTCATTTGCCATATCTTCCTAAGTCTTTATTTTTTAATTAACCAATATGATATTTTCTTTCTTATCTTATTCTAATCTTTTCTATAAATGTGCTTTAAATAAATAACATTTTATTACTGAATTTCCATAAAAATGGAATGGCACCTAATAAAAAANCAAATTATCAGAATTATACTGTATATATATATTAGATCTTTATTCTAATTACTAAGAAATTTATTTTTATCAAACAACCAGAAAGTAATTAAGTTAAAAACAATTTGTTGTAATTTTATGAAACTTATTTATAATTAAAAGAGCTATATAATTCTTTAAAATGAATTAGCTTATCATATATTATTATTAAAAAAAGTTCAATTAAATTAAAATAGTTATAATAATTAATTTTGGTAGCCAATAACTTTATCTATTTAAAAGAATATGGACTTAATTTATTTCATTGTAATATAAATTATTTACTTTAGATTATTATAATAAAAAAATTAATTGAAATTTTCAACAATGGGAGTAGTAATTTAACATTGCATCAAATCCATATAAAATGGTATTGATAATAATCAAGGCGAAGATTGAAAATACATTGATAGACACTTAAATAATGTCTACAATTAAAATAATATATCCAATTTTGAATCTGTTCATAAAAATATATGAAGGTTTAGCTATAATTATTACTCCTAAAATCTATATAGTAATTTAATAATTTACTCCTAAAATGAAAAATACAAGCATTTGTTCATCAGTTATAGTTTTTTACAAAATAAATTAGATCAGACTATTAAGAGAAATCATAAATGATCCAAAAGCAGCAGTGGCAGCTGCTTCTCTTGCAATTATTTTTTATGATAATAAAAAGGTCACCATAATTAAACCACCTCCCATACCTAACAATCCTGTACTGAACCCAGCTAAAAAACCACCCAAATAATAAAAAAAAAATTATTTTTTCTCTTTAAAGAATCTCTAATTTGGTCTATATTATACAATATCTTTATAATATTCTTCATTTCTTTTACTCCAATAAACAAAAAATGTATAAGTAAGATTTATTCCAATTATTGCTAATAAAATTAGATTATTTTCAAGAGTGCATTTATCTAAACCAATTATTGAATTATTATATTTATTAGATCTCATAAGGATAATTGTTTGATTAACAAAAAAAGATCCAAAAATAAAACTTAGATTCTTTATCTAAAATTTTTTATGGTCATTTTTATAAAATTGTTAATACTAATTGAGGAGCTTTTCATCAAAATTTGTTTCATTTGCCATATCTTCCTAAGTCTTTATTTTTTAATTAACCAATATGATATTTTCTTTCTTATCTTATTCTAATCTTTTCTATAAATGTGCTTTAAATAAATAACATTTTATTACTGAATTTCCATAAAAATGGAATGGCACCTAATAAAAAACACAATTATATTAGATATATAATAAATTTTGGAGATCTTTATTGTAGAAATGCTCCAGCACTCCATGCTAATGGAATTGTTTAATTTAAGATTATGCTTATATCAAAATTTATTAATGGTAAATTATGATGATCTGGATGTCTATTATTTTTTTATATTTGATTTACTTTTCAAAAAATAAAAATAATGAATTCAATGTCGATGTTGTAAATAAGAAACAATCTGCTACTTGAGTTGATATACTTGAAGGATAATTCAATAAAAGATTTAAAATAGGCCTTTTAATCATACCACTTCCTAAACCACCCATAATACTAGTCCCCAACAAAATAGGAATTAAAAAATAAACAAAACCTGTATAAGGAGTTAATTCTAATATAGGATCATGAACACATGAATAACTTATTTAATCACTCTCACAAGTACTCAAAAGCCAACATCCTTTATCAGGATCACATTCTTAATTATTCATTTATTTAAAATAATATATTTTAATTCATTCATACAATCAATCAAAAAAATATGAAATATCTGAAATACTAAGATTTTCCAAAATATATTAATTAATAATAGAATTTTTTAAAATAAAAATTAACTTAAAAATAATTATACTTAACTAGTCAATACCTTAAAATTATAAGTGATAGTTGAGATAAAATTATTTCTATTTATAGGATTAATTAAAAAGCTATGAATCAATTATAAGAGGAGTACAAATAATCAGATACAATTAAGAAATAGCTCTATAATAATATAAAAAGGATTTTATTAATTAATTAAACTAAATAATCTGTAATATCACATCAAAAAAATACTTTTTATTTAATATCTATATAATAATTTTATTCATAGAATCATAGAGTTGTATTTTCTTCTTAATCATTTTCAAATATCCCTACACATGCTTCTTAATAATCATTTTATAAATTTGCTAATATTTCTCTTGCTTCTACGAATTATGCTTCCTCCATACCCTCTTTTACAAACTAATCCACAAAAGCTCTTTTTGCAAACATTAAATCAAATTTTTAACATAAATTTGAAAAGAATTATGACATTGCAGTTGTATTTGCAATCGCACATGCTGATCGTTAATTATTATATAAATCCTCTTCTGGCAAGGTATATATGTCTCGGTAATCAACTCCTACTTAAAAGCCTGATGGACACCAATCAACAAATCTAATGGTTTGTTGCTTTTTCAATTCATAAATTGAATGACTAACATCTCTAGGAATATTATCTCCTCTAAATAATATAGAACATGAAAAATATTCCATCTATCTTGGATCGCATTTTGCCATCATATTGGCTGTATCCAAAGCAAGCTTTGAAATTTCATCAGTTGAAAGCTGCACATTGTCTATATTTTATCGGGATATTATAGGAGCATAAGAGCAAATTAAAAATTTGAGCTGGGGATAGGGAATTAATCGAGTTTAAAATTCTGTTAAGTCAGTAAATAGTCCTCCATCAAATCTCATTGAACAAGTAATAGATGAAATCACTTGAGCTATGATCCTATTCAAATTAGAATATTTTGGTGTTTCAATATTAAGTTTATTCTTACAAATATCATAAATTGCTTAATTATCCATAGTGATACAAACATCAGTATATTCTAATTAAGATTAAGTTGCAAAAATAGAATTATAGGGTTCAACCATAGAAACAGAAGTTTCTTAGGATGGATGAATATTTATACATAATCTAGATTTTTTACAATAATCAACTGATAACTTTTCTAATAATAATGTACCTAAACCTGAACCTGTTCCTCCACCAACTGAATTAAACATCATAAATCCTTAAATTGAAGAACAATTATCAGCAAGCTTTCTGATTCTTTCCAAACATATATCAACATATTCTTTGCCATACGAATAGTGACCTCTTCCAAAATTATTTGCAGTACCCTCTTTCCCAGAAACAAATTATTCTAGACTGAACATTTCCTTAAATTTACCTGTTTTCACTTAATCTATTAATGTAGGTTCTAAATCTACTAACAAAGATCTTGGAACTAATTTTTGATGATCGGATTCTGAAAAAAATGTTCTCAATTTATCATCTTTTTCAATAACTTGTTAATTGATCACCTAACCATTAGACTAAATTTAATGCTCTAAACAAAATAATTCCCAACATGCATTTCCTACCTATAGTACTAGCACAAAAATTTCGTCAAGAAAATCTACATTACTTATATTTATATGATAAAGATATGATTATTTAATTTCTATAAATAAGGGTTGAGTTGAATTTAATTAATAATCTAAACAAAGCTTAAGTATAATTTAAAAATAAAAAATCAAAATGGTTAAAAATGTTTTCTCAATATACTATATATTCCTCCTTATCCAACTTGAATTGTAATTATTTCTTTCATTTTAAAGCGCCTTTTGATGTAAAATCTTTAAATAATTAATTTCTATCAGGTTCTATCTATTTTATATTTCGAAAATACTGATAATCTTTATGGAGTGATTAATTTATAAAAGAAATATTTTAAATAAAGAATTTAATTTTTATAAAATTTATTTATTTAATAGTTGAATAAATTTTATACTGAAAATATTTAAAATTTTCTTACATGTAGTTATTTCGAGGATAGTTTTATTTTATTATCTAGTTATTTTTAATAATATGTATTTATCGCTTTAATTAAAAAATAATAATAATATAAAAAAAGTTCATATTTTAAGATGATTAAAGGATATTTTCATTTATGTAATAAATTTAAAACATTTAGATTTTTAACTTTAACGTAAAAATTTGCAATTCTAAGAAAAATCTTGATGATAATTCTATATTGTAATTGTTTATTTAGTGGAATTTCTAAATCTATGGTTTTTTATTGGTATATTTAATTTTAAAATGATTTTTGAATTACCGTTATCATCTAAAAATAATTTGCTTTGAAGGAAAGCAACTATATTTAACTGAGTGAAAGATTATCCAGTGAAGACAGAATGAAGGGTCAGGCTAGAAGAACCCAGAAATTTCTAACTAGGTGTTTCATTTAGCCCTTTAATATTGCGGTAAAGGGGATAATATTCTTCCCTTTCAATCCAAAAAATGAATTCAATTAATTACTATCAAAAAAAGACATGGAAGATAGAATGATTCCCTCTGTGCTAATCCCATTTGCTATCAATTTGAAAGGCTCTGACTCTATGAACTTAAAAAGATGTTAATTCTGAACTAAATTTTTAATTTTTGCAGTATTGCAGTAACTTTGAGGATTACTTTGAAGATAAATGGAAAGACTATTGTTTTTGTAAAAAAAATTGATTAAATCTAATTTTTATTTTTAAATTCTTCCAAATTTTGATTCTGACACTTATTAGGTTAGTATAATTATCTCTTCTTATTTCTTTTCCACTTTGCTTTTTCTATTCATTTTGTTTATTTAGAATACCTGATGCTCATACTCAGTGATTATTAGACCAATAGTCCTCTAATAATATCCTAAACTTTATTCTATTCATCATTGGCTTTTATGATTATTTACATATTAATAATTAAAATAGCTCATTTCCACAATTTAATACGGACTTATTATCATATATTTGTTTTGAGATAAGGATTAATGATTTTAATACATTATTAAGAAATTTTTTAAAACAAGTACAAATTGGAATATA